CAGAGGGGACAGAATTCCATGGAACACCGGGACCAAGAAGGTCTGGAGGTCAGTCAGAGCTTCACATCCTGGAACATCAGTCTGTTTAGCCACAGCTGGTGGTGACTTCTTCCTCTGCACAGTAATGCTACAGGCTACTTTGCTGCATTCTGCCACCATCTGGTGAATTCCAGTACTGCATATTTTACTCAGATCAGCTCAGAAGGGAGACCGGGGGCTCTGGGGGAAACATCCGGGGCTGCAGCCCCCTCTAGATCCGCCACTGCTTCTGTCTGAGGATCAGCGCTGGGCCGTAGTTCACCTTCAGGGGAGGTGATGCTGAATGATTGCATCATCAGATAAAGAGGGTCACTGTAGGTTTATCAGGTTTTACTTTGAATGCAAAGCAGGCAGAAAGGATTGATGTTAAACCATGAAGGAGAATCAGAAAATCTCTTCAGTCTCTGTTTTTCTGCTGTTTAATGTTCTGCAGACAGACTGTTCTTTTTTATCCCCGTTTGGAGCTGATGGTTCCACATATCAGGGTAAAGTAACAGCCAGTGGACCCGCCCCCCCTCCAGACTGCAGAGCTTCCTCTGAACTCGGGTCATCTCCTCCACAAAGAGCGAATGCCAATCACCCACACAGGAGTCAGGAATGTGTGGCGCTCTCAGGACTCGGTGGATCTTTGGGCGCGTTAGCAGCCAATCAGAGTCTGGAGTAACGAGTCATGCATTAAAGCAGAGGATTGATTCTGTTTTTACCGCCTTTCATTGAAGTTGAATCATTTGGGACCGTCTGCCTGCAGGAATGTTAGGAAACTAAATATTTAGCATTTATTGTTGGATTTGAAGGCAGCTTCAAGTTTGGGGCCAAATCAGAACGTTTTTGTTTAGGAGCCGCTGTTTATTCATTAATGCATATGGAGGCCTGTCATCCGGTTTAATCTGGTTTCTATTGATCTGAGCTGCTGCTGGCAGGAAGTGGAAGGACGCAATGACATCACGGGTCGCCAGCGTGCTGGGTTTACAGGAGTAAACATGGATGGTAGTGCAGAAGAGCATCTAGCCATCTTTCCTAACCTTAAAAACTCAATCTTTCAAGATGGTTAAATATAAATGCTGCTGTTCGCATCATCGTCCGCCATGATTGTTGTTTTTTTCTTGCTCCTTCTGCATAGCTACACCCAGAATCGTGACCTTTGTCGGGTATTAATAGGCGTTCAGGTCGGATAAATGCGACCTGGCCTCTAAAAAAAATATCCGATTTGAGTCGGATTCAGGACCACAGAGCCAAGCGGCCTGGATCGCACTGGGAAAAATCGGATCCATGTTGTTCAGACTGTTATGAAAAGATCAGATCCAGGTTGCTATGGGCAACAGAAATCAGATTAGGGTCACTGCTGGGTGAACGAGCCTATAGACGTTTATGGAGGCAGAACGGCGGCGTTTCAGTTTAAACGGAACCAATAAGAGAAACCTCCATTTTTCCAGATGAACGGAGCTAAATGCTGCTTTATGTTTGGTTCTGCAGCCTGACGTCTAGACGTTGTTGCGCCCCGTGGTTCAGGCCTGTCGCTCAGCTCCATGTCAGATGAGCTGTCATCATTTTGGCCCAAACTGGAGTCCGGTTCTACGGCTTAATGGGAGCCAATTAGAAAATGCTGCCGCTCTGACTTCATGTCTGTGGAGCGTCCGTCTGATGTTGGAGGAACAAATGTTCATTGTAGCGTCTGCTCCGCTTCAAGCCGTCCTTTATTAGGAACGCTGCTGCCAGCATCGGGGGGAAAACGATGCAGATTATCGGCTTTGAAAGGCAGAAAGCGTCTGCAGAAGGAATGGATGTTAAAAGTTGATCTGATGGATGTCAGGCTCTGACGGTCTGTAGACGATAAGAGGAAGAAACGCCTCCTGGTTTCCATCCTGAACGCCGTTCGTTCCAGATTTTCAGGCCTGATTATAGAAACTAAACCTTTTCCAGTAAAAACAAAACTGCTGCATTCATTTGCATAAATTATCACGTTTTTAGTTATTCTAAACTTTTTTTCTTTTAACTTGTTTCTTTACAAGTCGATTAAGATTGAAACACAAAATAAAAACTAAACCCTGTTTGTTCATTTCATCTTTAAATGGCTGAATAAAGGAGAAGCTGCAGTTTGGAACAAAACTTTGTCCAATTCTGCATAAAAACTGAGATCCTGCAGAAAAAGCTGCATGTTTTTAAAACCAGATCTTTTCCCGTATCTCTGGAAGAAGAACGACTCAGACTTTTAGACTCTGGAACTACCGGAGTTCCAGTGACTTGGTCTGGGTTTAGATTTAACGTCTAGGATGGGAGAACGAGGACCAGATGGTCATCGGTGGCGTTACTGCAGCCACCTGTGCTGAGCGGCGCCTAGTGATGAGTCGGCCATGGATCCACGGCGATTAAACGTAACCATGGAAACCGTCCTGAAGCCCAGAGGACGGAATGGAGCAGATGGAAGATTGACGGATTCACCAGTGAAACCAGTGTTTTTGGTTTACTGGTTCTGAAACAGGATAACTTTCATGCTGCGTTCAGACGGCGAACGCTGGAAGCTTCTGCTGCCTCTGTTCTGATGCTCGTCCACATTAAGCTCAGGCGTCCAGTTAACTGAGTCCAGGTGTGTCTGGAGTGGCGGCCCAGTGGGTGGGGCATAGAGCCTGGAATCCACAGGTTCTGAGTTCGAGTCCCACTCCCACAGACTGCCACTCTGGGTCCCTGAGCAAGACCCTTAACCCCAACCTGCTCCCCGGGCGCCGCACCATGGCAGCCCAAGGGGAGGGGTTAAATGCAGAGAGGGAATTTCTCCAGTTTGGGACAAAGTTTCTTTTTTTTTTTTTTTTTCTTCTGCTGCTCCTGTGTTCGATGCCAGAGAGCAGCTTTGCTATATTAGCTGTGATCAGCGGGTAGAAAGTAGTTAGAATCTATGTTGAAGTGAGAAAGTCCTCCTGAAAACATGGTCTGTGCAGTCAGTTCATCCAGATTACCATCCTGCCTTCAAAGATTATTTCTCTGTGGGAGCCGCTCAGACCCCCACATACCGGCGCTGCGCTGTCACTGGGAATCCCCAGCAGCAGCTGCCTCAGGCCCGCTCGCCTCTCCAGGGTTTTCCCCTCCTGTTGGTGGCGGCTGGAAGTAGATGTTAGCGTTTTTCAGGTCTGTGCTACAAACTGCAGGCAGCAGGATAATAAAAGCCAACATATTCTGCCGGCAGGTTTCTACATTTGAAGTTAATTTAGGCGTTAATAAACTGTTTCAGAGGAGTGATCATAGCGCTCTGCATCAGCAGTGCTGCGTCTGACTCCCTGCCAGCTCCCAGATCAGCTTCTCTCATTGGTTGATGCAGCAGCTGCTGCTTCTGAAGGGCCTCAGATGCTCAGTATCTCATGAGGCGCCGCTGCTCCTGCTTCTCTAGACGCTGCAGGACCTTCTGCGGCGCCCTGATGCGTGTTTCATCATTGGCTCTCCATGCAACCTGCTGCTTCTGCAGCGTATGGTCTGAACATGGCATTAAAACTTTGAGCTTCTGTTCTTAAATTAAAACCTGAAACTGAAGGTTTACTTCTTATCTTCCCTTTGCTTTTAATAACCTGGATTAATGTTAAAAGCTTTTCTTTGAGTCTAACTTTAATCGTAGAGCTGCAGTCAAAGATGCTGTGAAGCTTTTTTTTCTTCTCAAACGTGTTTATTTCCTTTCAGGCCTGCTGCAGGTTCCTTAACATCCAGACCTGCATCCACCGTACCAAAACCTGCTGCTGCAGCAAAGCCTTCCATCACGGCAACTGCTAAAGTTTCCAGAGCCGCTGCACCGCCGCCTGCTGGTCGGACTGCAGCAGTGCAGCCCAATAAAAATGCTCCTGCTGCAAAGAAAGGTGAGAAGGTCATCTTCTATGAGCCGTTTCATGTTTGCTTTATCCTAAATGCAAAATGTTTATATACAATCACTGGTTTATTATGGAACGAATGGAAAGATGTTTAACTGCCATATTTTTAGAATAAAAAATGCTGTAATTTAGATTTTCCTTTGCATTAAAAACCCCAGCTTAAAATGTTTGACCCCAGACTTAGTTTTTTTAAAGCTCCATGGTTACAGGACTAATCTCTACCTAACTGTGTGGCCTAACCTAGAGGCCTGGAGGGAGATGAACAATCTCAGCCTCTGACATTTATTAAACTGCGATTATTTTGCAAATGCTTTTAATTTTCCAGCCTTAGTGCTGAATTTAAATTTGATCCTTTTCTGTGTTCATGTTTTAATGATTCCAACCGTTTCAGGTTATAGAACTTAAATCATGTTAATGTTTTCCTCTTTTTGCCGCAGATGTAAGTCGACCGCTTCCTGCTGCCAGGAAACCCGTCGCTGCAGCAGAACCTCCTGCTGCCAGGAAACCCGCCGCTGCAGCAGAACCTCCTGCTGCCAGGAAACCCGTCGCTGCAGCAGAACTTCCTGCTGCCAGGAAACCCGTCGCTGCAGCCGGACTTCCTGCCTCCAAAAAGATCGAAGCCTCCAGATCAGCCAATGCAGCAAAACCAAACTCTGCACCTAAAGCAGCGACGGCGACCAAGGCTGCAGCCCCCAAAGTTCAGCCGCCAGCCAAACCAGCGCCAACAAAGAAGCCTCCGGCCGCCGCTCGCCTTCCGCTGGCGAGCAGAGCGCCAGGCCGGACGCCGCCCGCTTCTCCTGCAGGCAGACCTGCTGGCGCCTCCAAACCTGCGACTCCTGCCACCAAACGTGGAGCCAGACCCCCTCAGACGGGCTCGCCTTTCACAAAGAAGACGTCAAACCCCCCGGTGCCTGAAGCCCCGCCCCAAAGGACGGCGGCGCCGGCGGCAGACCCGGCAGCTCCGACCGAGAAGCCAGAATCGGCCGCTGTGGAGGAGGTTCAGACTCGGGGTGACGGGGAGCCAGAGGAGGTCGCTCAGCGTGAGGAAGCAGCCCCCCCGCATCCCCTTACCCCCCCTCCTCAACAGGAGCAGACGACCGTGGCCCCCTCTGGTGCCCCGCCCAAGGAGCCGGGGTCCCCAGATCAGACCCCCGCCCCGCCTGCGGCGAGCTTCGCCCCTAAGGCGGCGCCGCTGAATCTAAACGAAGAGGAGGAGGAGGAGGAGGAGGAGGAGGAGAGGGAGGGCAGCCAGCTGGTGTCGGTGTCGGAAATGAGCGGAACCACGCAGCCCACCGAGGAGTCCCGTCCTGGGTCGGGGGGGGCGGTCGGCGGCGCTGCCTGGAAAGCCGGAGGCGTCTGGTTGTCCGAGCTGGACTCGGAGGAGGTGAGCGGCAGCCAGCAGGGGGCGTCGGAGCTGAGCGCCCCCGGCGTCCTGGAGGGAACGGAGAGCACGGACGAGCTGGGCGACGGCAGCCTGAAGGGAGCCATGGACATGGAGGGGGCCTCGGCGGGGTCCCCCGACTTCGAGAAGGTCCCCGACATCCCGGCGAACGAGGACGACGACAGCGACCGCGTCTGTGACATGGAGGTGGGCTCGGAGCGCACGGATGAGCCGCGTGGACCCCGCCACGACAACGACGTGGACGAAGAGGACGACGAAGACGTGGAGATGGCGAGTGAAGGCGTGACGGAGAGCGGCCTGGAAAGCTACGGGAATGCGGACGAAGACGACTTTGCCGACGATGAGAGGCTGGATAATCTGAACAGGGTGGTCCAGCCGCCGCCGCCGCCGCTGCCCTCCGCCCCGGCGGCCCAGTGGGACCAGCAGAACCCGTCAGACTGTCGGTGGGCGGGACCCTCGCAGTCATGCCTTCCTCAGGGTCCAGGAGGAGAACCGGAGGCTCAGGCCTGGCCAGGGGGCGGAGCTTCAGCCTCTGCTCCTGAAGGACAGGAAGTCCCACACCCACCCCAGACTGCTGATCCCCGGGGCCCCGCTGCGGCCCCAGGGCCGTCTCCGTCCAGTGAGGCGAGCACGCCTGAGGAACGCCACCAGGAGAGGAAGCTTTCCTCTCCGGCGTTCGAGGCGCCTCCTCAATCCTCCCAGGAAGTCCAAACGGAGAGGGAGGAGGAGGAGGAGGAGGAGGAGGCGGAGCCAGAGACCCTACCCGCTGATGAAGTCCTGGGGGGCCCCTCAACGGCCCCTACCTCCAACCCCTCCTCATCCTCAGTCACAGAAGATGAAGCCAGCGACACGGAAGGAGAAGCTCAGCTGGAGGCGTCTTCTGCAATCTGTAACCTGACCTTTGACCCCATCCCTCCCCCCCAGCGCTGTCTCTCCACGGTGGAGGAGGAGGCGGAGCGGGCCCCCGGCGACGAAGCCGCTTCGCCGCCGTCCTTCATCTTCGACTCCAACACCACGCCGTCCACCAAGAGCCCCGGCATCTTCTCCCTGGAGGAGCTCCCGCTGGAGGCCATCAAGGAGCCGTACATGGAGGCTGGGCGGCAGGAGGCGGAGCCAGCCAAAGAGGCGGGGCCAGAACGGCGTGGATCCAAAGAACCCTTGGAGGAGACGACGGACGTCCAGCCTCAGTACTACGCTATCTGTGAAAAGACTGACGACTCTTTTCCAGGTAACGTATAGTAGCACCCCCGCCCCCCCGTGTTGTCTCTGTGTTCCTCGCCGTCTGGCGGCGGATCCATGTAAACGCCATCAGAACAAAAACGGATGAAAGTTGTTCCTCCATGTCTGAATGTGAGGGATCCTCCTGTATGTGCAGCAGCTCTGTCCGCGCAGCGCCCCCCCCCCGGCGCCCTGGGTGGGGTGGATGATGCGCCCCCTCGCCTGGCATGGATGTTCCTTCCTGCAGTTTACAGTCAGACATCAAACTAACGATCTGTTTAACGTGTTTCTATCTACTTTCATTCTGTGTTTCTGTGGTTTTTAAGCCAAACTGTTGAATCTTTAATCAGGTTCTTCTCCTTAAAGGTGTTTTGCTCTTAAATGTATCCAGTTCTTTTGAAACAAACCTTAAAACTTTAAATAAAGATTAGATTTTTTACCATCATGTTTTCTTATAGTGTGTCGAGGAGAAGCTGAAACTGGGAGAAAGTTCAGATTATTTAACGTCCTCAGATGGAGATGAAGCTCTGACTGAGGCAGCTTTACAACATTTATACAGCAACTCCCAAAACGCACTAAATAGTCAGACAGACTCTGTACAATTTTTTTTATAATTTTTTTTTTATGATAAAGTGCAGCTACAGCTCAAACTGAGCAAACATGGCTGCTACAATCTGTCAGTTTTACAGAAAGAACTCCGTGTCACTCATTGCACCCCCCCCATAGGCTAGTAAACTAGCCCCGCCCACCAGCGGCCAAAATGCGAGTTGGTCTAGCCTCCATCAATGCCCCACGCCCTAGAACTGGCGGGCCAATCACAACGCAGAGATGTGTTTTGAATGTCTGGATGCAAAGTGGGCGGGGTTTTAAGGGCGTGACGATAAAGCTGCGCGACGCTGCAGAAAACGCAAGGAAGATGGCAGCAGCTGTTGACCAGCAGCGTGATGCACTGCGGCGGCAGCAGCTTATCATGGAGCTGACCCACTGGAAGTTAAAACGTTCGCTTTCTGTTGCTGCTGTTCAATAAAAGAACGTTTTAAGATCATTTTAGGCGAGAAAATTATACTTTAAGGCGTCACTATATGATCCATTTACCGATTTTAATGCGTGATTAAAAAAAACTATTTCTGGAGTTGAGAGGATCGGGGCAACCAGCGGAGCTCTGAGGCTAATGGCAGCCCGTCTGCGGCTGCGCGCTCTCGGCGTAGCGGTGTGAAGGACCGCTGGCTGCATGAAGTGAAGGTTTTTTTTTTTTTTTTTTTTTTTTAATTCTATATCTTATTAGGTCAAACATTCATAATTTTTGAATTCTGAATTTTACATATTTTTGAATTCGTTTAAGTTAAAGTTAGTTTTGTATAAAATCTGAATTAGAACTCAAGAAAAACTAATAATTTTTTATTTGTTTTTGGGTAAAAAAAAGAAACACTTAGCAGATGAAAACCTTATTTATTTTAAATAATCAGAAAACCAGAATTTATAAAGGAAAAAATAATGGATCCAAAGGACCAATCAGTATCCATGTCTGCAGATCATCATTAGACCTTCTTTGGGGGGCCAGGACAGGATCTACAGGGGCACTGGCCCCCGTGGGCCCCCGTCTACAACCGCCCATGCCACTAATTATGAAAGAAATCTTTCCTTTGATCTTTTTAAGTGAAGGTTTTTCTAAACCTTGTGGATTTTATGTAATGTTTGCAGCTTTGGATGGTTGGGTTGCTGCTTTAGTAGGGGGCGTGGCCAGTTTAGGGCCCCGCCCACAGAGCTCTGCAGTGCAGATTAATTAATGCAGACATTTATTGGCGTCTGCAGCATTAAATGCTTTATTTTAGCAAATGGAAGTCATGGGATGTACGGTAGCTCGGCTGCCGACGCTTGGAGCTCGTAACTGACCTGTTTGGCCCCCCCCCCCCCCTTGGGGCCATTTAATGCAATATAAAATGAATGCAGGAAATATTCTGCTGTGAAAAGACAAGCAGCCTTTCCAGGACTGCGCCGCCTCTCTGCACTATGATGGATCTGTCAGGGCGCCCGCTCCTCCTTCCCTCCCTCCTCTGGACCGAGTCGCCTCAGGATCGGTGGCGGCGGCAGCGGCAGTTCCCCTCCCTGTGGGTGTGTTGTTTGTTTTGTACTTTGCTGCACTGTTCTCTGGAGCTTCTGCATGTCACCGCTGCGCTCCTGTTGATGGGCTGCAGCATCCAGGCTCGGTTCTAGGAGGGGAAGCGTTCCTCTGCTAAAGCCGAGCCGCCAGGCTTCCTGCTGATGCTGGAAATGCATGAGGAGCTTCTGCATGAATCAGGAGGAGCCAAACAGGAAGTTCTCCTCCTTTTCTTTCTCTGGGTCTCCAGGTTTGCTCTCTGCTCACCACCTCCACCCAGGCACCACCCTGTCCCTCACCCTTCTACACCCAGAGTCACCGTTCTGTTCAGGAGGGAATGAAAACCTGCTGCTTGATTTTGGGGCTCTTCTTCACCTCCCTCCCCCCTCCTCCTCCTCCTCCAGTGGGAGGAGCTTCCTTTCTCTGACACCTTCCTGCTCCTGGCTGTTCTCCGCCTCTATAGATGTTTGACTCTGTTCAAAAAGTGAAACTCATTGTATTAGTATGGGACCCATAGGATGATGCTGCCACCGCCATGTTTCACAGCAGAGGCTGTAAGTGTAGCGCAGCGTCTTTCCTGCTGCGATGGAAAGCAGATAAAGTTTGATTAATGCCGTCGGAGGATTCGGCGTGGCGTGGAGGGACTCGGCCTCCACGGTTTCCATGGTTACCTGATCAGGTCAGGCCATGTTTGCTGACAGAGCGCAGCGCGGTCCATGAACCCGTTTAAGGTGATGGTGGGAACGTCTGTTTTTCCTTCCATCTAACTTTCCATTAAAATACTTGGAAACTGTAAATTATTCGTAGATTAATCTTTAATTAAAATTTAATCACGTATTTCCACCTTTTATTAATAAAATGATGAGTTTGACTTTTTGAGGCGGGTCACTGAGTCGGACCGTTTCCTGCGATGATTTTAAAGATGTTTCTCTTCTGCTTCACCTCCAGGCTCGTCCTCGATGCCTCAGCGCCGCGACCACTCCTCCTACCCCAGAACCTTCTGTGACATCATCAAACCCGCCGCCGCTCCGCCCAGGCTGAGCTGCGCCGACCTCCCCCCGCGGAGCGCCGGGCAGCAGGCGCTGAGCCCCCAGCTCCGCAGGCTGGAGCAGCATCACAGGCAGCTGCAGGAGCTGCAGCAGCGCAGGGAGCAGCAGAGCCGGCCGCTGGAGGAGGCCGAGCAGGAGAGGAAGAGGAGGGCGGAGGAGGAGGAGAGGAAGAAGAAAGAGGAGGCGGAGGAAGAAATCAAGAGGAATAAGGAGGAAGAGGAGCTGAAGCAGATGATGCAGTGGCAGCAGGAGGCGCGGCAGGAGGCGCAGCAGGAGGCGCAGCCGTCCAGTAAAGCTCAGGCGGCGCTGCCGTCTCCCTCGTCGGTTCTCTGCACCATTTATGAAGCCTTGGAGAGCAGCGAGGAGGAGGCAGAAGATGGAGAACCGCTGGAGAAGGAGAGTCCTGGACCCGAACCTCCTCCCCTCCCCGACTCCCCGGAGCGGCCCCCGCCCCTCGACCTGGACTGGGGGGAGAAAGTGGACATGGTCCAGCAGCTGATCAACCAGACGCTGCTCCTCCATGGGGACGGCTGCTCCTCCCTGCTGCTGTTGCCGGGCGGTTCTGGGGGAACGCTGAGCCCCCTGGAGAGCAGCCTGTGGCCCCGCCTGCTGCCCCCCCTCAGCCCTCCCTCTGCCACCGTCACCTCCGTCAGCAGCTTCTCCCCGGAGGCCGCAGGCAGCTCCTCGCAGGGGGAGTGGACGGTGGTGGAGCTGGAGACGCATCACTGAGGAGAGGAGAGGTTCCCACGGCAGCAGCCACCGACCGGCCGAGCTCAGCTGACCAGACAGCACTTGAACGCATCACAGGATCTAAAGGGTGAACCTGAACGCCTCGGAGAAAAATAAAGCACAACACTCTTCCAGCATCAAACGCTTCCATCTGTCCGCCGCTCTGACCTGCTGCCCCTCAGCATGATGCTGCCGCTACCGACAGCAGGGATGCTCAGCCTGCATCTCTGCAGCTCCTCCAAAGGCAGAGGCTGTTTTAACGCCTGTAGACCGGGGGGGGGGGCAGCTGTTCAGGCGCAGCTGATAACTGATGCGACTCGGAGGAAATCTGAGCACCTGAACGCAACACGACGGCAGGAGCAGAACTGAACCCCCCGCCCATCAACGGCGGATACCAGCTGTCAATCACCTGCTGCTGCCATGGAAACCGCCATCGGCCCCAGTTACCGACTGTTTTCCTGCTGGTTCTCCTGGCGAAGCCTCTGATTGGTTCCTTGCACTTAGATCCAACCAGAGAACTTCCTGTTAACGGCGGGAAAAACCGACCAATCTGATTGGAGCGTTTTAGGAGCGCGGCTCTGATGAGGCCTTAAACCTTTAATCACTTTGTTTTTAACTCAGGCAGCTTTTCCTCCAACTCTTTCATTTCGTTTAAGTTCTGATTAAATGTTGTTTTTTTTCCTGCCTCTTATTTTCTAACGTTTGTAGATTTTATCTCTAGAGACAAAAAGCACAAAGAAGGAAGAAATTCTGCTTTTCTTTAAACTGAACAGATTGTTTTTATCCAGTTTGATTCACAGAAAATGATCTTTGAGATCTGGATTATAATGCATCTAATCCGGGGCCGCGCCCCTTCCTGGGAGCCATTCCGCTTCCTGGGGGGCCGGGTCCCGCTTCCTGGGGGCCATTCCGCTTCCTGGGGGGCCGGGTCCCGCTTCCTGGGGGCCATTCCGCTTCCTGGGGGGCCGGGTCCCGCTTCCTGGGGGC